CTCAGCACATTAATGAATTCAAGGTAAAATAACCACTGTAATAAGAAAAAATCATATCTTATGAATTTATATATTGACACATTATATTACAGATAAATCAACTTTTTGATCTAAATTCAAGTTTATATCTGCATGAACCTTTATCTGATATAAATATACTAATAGAAATAAAGGAAAGCGAATTTGTTGAACGCATAGTGAATTTTGGTAAAATAAATGCAACCAGATTGCCAAATGCACTAATCTGCTGGTATGAAGTTAGATTAACATTAAATCACAATTATGATACAAAAAGAAATGGGTCTTTTATGAATCACACTGCAATATTATTGGAAGATGAATTAAAAAGCATTATTCTACGAGGTAATGAAGTATATCTAAAAGTTCAGCAGGTTGAAGGTGTGGTTCGTATAAAAGTCAAATGATCTAAACAAAATATAGCATTTTGTATAATTGTAACCCACTTGGAATGTACATTTGTTTAACATGCTTTAATCTTATTCTGTACATATATAAAGAAAAGTATAAACCATAATATTTGCTGTTAATAAAACTAAATCTATTATTATACAAACTATTATGTACTACAAGAAATTATTTTATAAAAATAAAAATTTATAATTTACTTCTTGTGTCATCCTTTAAAAATTCACATACATATGGTGCTACCCTTTCAGGATAATTATTATGTACATCATGATTTCCTATAACAGGAACTACAATAAATTTACTATTACAGTTATTTGCTACTATATTTTTTATATCTTCCATTATGGTCATTAGTTTAACATATTGATTGGATTTGTTTGCCACAATAACAAATATTGGCGTTGAGAATTTTTGCCAGAAGTGTATACGTTGTTGTTTTGTAAACACAGGACGTACCATAATTCTTAATCTAGGATCACGATTATATTTATATTTATCTCCAACTTTCGTGACTGCACGTGTAAACATAGCTTCAGCAGCCTCCGAATTTAATGCCTCTCGCCTTTTATACTGCAAAGCATATATCACTTCTTCTTTAGTGTATAGTGTATCTTTAACTTTATCATAAACATCCAAGCTGTAAATTCGTTTAATGTGATTAATAGTGTCCTCAATTGGTAATGGTACAAGTCCATCTACAGATATGATTTTTTGTAACCGTCCTGGGTATAATACACTAAAATCTACTCCTATTTGAGTACCAAAACTATGTGACAAATAAATACAAGTTTTCCATTTCAAGGTATTGAGAACTAGGAAAATTGTATAAACATAATCAAAATATTGCAATGGCAGTCCAGGTGGAAAATGGGATGAAAATCCATGTCCTGGCAAATCTATGCTCACATATTGGTATTCATAAGGAAGAAGTTCTATTAATCTGTCAAATGATCCAGAGTTGTCTAAAGTACCATGTACCACCAAAATCTTCTTTTCTTTTGGAGGGCCATAAATTTTTGCAGCTATATGACCCCATGGTACAGGTAAATTTTCTTTGACTATTTGCTGTTTTAATTGACTCATGATGAAGCACAATACATGTAAGACAGATACTCCAGTAACAGATTTTCTCTGCAGATCTACAAGCACATAAATTACTATTGTAAGTATAATAACTGAGTTTCAGGAACTAATTCTTATTTCTACTGAATTTAAAACAACAGTAAAAAGCTTTTATATCAGAAATCCAAAGTTCACTGTTGATCAGGTGTAGGATTGCAAGTCACTGCCTACTTTCAGATAAATTAAGTACTTTAGAAAAAATGTATGTTATGTTAATGAAGTAAATACATGTGTATGTACATGTATATGACATATATGAATGTAGCATAAATAACACTACTACATTTAATTACTATAATTATATGGCCAAATGCAATAATAATGACGATTATGTCATTATTATTATATTACATTATAATGTGTTATTAAATATAATCAAATACTTTAAGGAATGGATTATGAATTTGTAATTGTCAGTTTCATGAAAAACGATAAAATCATATATTTGGTTTCCTAATCTTCGCACTTATGTTTAATTTATGTTCTTTTATATACCATTTTTAATTATAGCATGCTTTACATATATTTATTATTATAATTTTTTATGCGTCGACTGAATTAGTATTTACGAAAACTGTAAAAGAATAAATATTAAACATTTAATACCACAATTTACGAATAACAGTAAATATGGTTTGATGACATGTTTGGCAGATGTACATTGACATTTTTTGACATGCGCACTGTAGTAAGCGATGGTGAAATACGTATTCTATATTGGTTATAGCCATATCAGCCGTTCATTGGCCAAATCGGTAACTTCTTTTTTTGAGTTTTCAAATATTTTATTATTAATACGATTAATTGACTTTTAATATTTTATGTTTAAAGTTAATTTCTTTATTATTGTTTTTCTATAATTGATACTATTGCGCCACCAACTATAAAATATACAACCATAATACAAAATTAGGTACCTTGAAGCTCTCTGATTCAATGCTACCGCTGTTTTGTAGATATAGTGTGTTTGCTTTTATTTATCATCTACTTCTGACTCTCTTCCTTATATCCCTTTAGAAATGAATAATTTTACAGATATTTTGTAATATTTAAAAAAATATTGAAATTATGTAACTCTAGATCACTAATCTAGAAATTTTAGTAACGAGATTACTAATCTTTCATTTCTTAAACTATTATATAAAGTATAGTATATATTTTTGTTATTCAGAAATGTATTTATATACAAAATTCTTGTAATACATATTTAAGGAAGTTTAAATGCAGCATTTTTAATAATTTTAATTGATTTCTAAACTTGTTTAAATACGACAGAAAATTTCATAGGAATATATCTTTTTATTTCTATTTTTCAAATTGTATTCCAACTACTAATATTAATTTCATGGTATGCAATATAATTATACAGAGAAGTTAACATTAGGTTTACGGAACGCGTCAGTTTAACGAATACTGAATTTTATAAAGTTTATAATATTTAGTGAATCTTTATCTCGATTTTAATTAATGCAGTAACACAAATGTGTATTTTAATTGTCTATCTTTAAACCTCTAATTTACAAAATCTAAATGAATAAATTTCTATTTTTTTAAGACGATAGACCAAACTGCACAATATACGTCCGTAAATGTAGTGTTAACATATATGAAACTTCTATCAGAACTTTTTAACTCCTGTTGCACAGGAGATGAACACCTGGACGACATATAGGCAAGAATCTCTTACCTGTACTTGTTTATAGTTTTGAATGGATCGTGTAACCGTATTGACGAATAACAAATTAATATCCAAAATGAGATGAGAACAAATGAAACTGACCAATTAAAATCACATTCTTTTCAAAGCTCATCTGAAGAATAGATAATTTTCTTATAAATGTTACCTCGTTATCTTAAAGTTGTTATTATTTGTTATCGCAGAATTTCGCAGTTATATTTGTAAAATATAAGTATAATTATAAATATTTATTCACATATTGAAAATTGATTTCGACAAACACTAGAGTCTTACCTCTGTGAGAGATCATTTTGATATAGTTGATATTTTTTGATTGTCACTAGCAAGTGGATTAAATAATTCTTTCAGTCACATCAAAACTTTGCACATTTGTTACTTTAGTGATATAAATGTAAATGTAGATGTTTTGGAGAGTTAAAAATGGAAAATAATCCTTGGGATACATTATCTACAGTAACTAAATTTGACGGAGGTAACATAACCTTAAATTCCCCGCGCAATTTTTAAACATATTCAATTTGACAGTTTTTCTACGTAAAGAAAACATTTTTCCAGATAAAGTACTATAAATATTATTGATTGTACTGCATAGTGTAATGATTTCTTATGTATTGTTTGAAAAATGTTATAAAAAAGTAATTGTTTAGTTGAATATATAACATTAAATTTTAACAAAATGTTGATCAAGGCTACATTAAAGGTTTTTTTGTATGTTTGCTATTTGTTTAAGAGTTAAGCCACATTATATTATTCATACTGTTATCAGGTAATAACACAAGGACTACAATACGCGTGGATAATGATAACAGTCAGATCAAAGGACAAGTTGTGAGCATAGTTACACCTTCTGTCAGTCTTTTAATTGAATCTCTTATACAACAACTTTGTACATTGTTTGAAAATGATCCAGTTCGCAGAAATAAACTATATTTTGGTAATGTGTATATATTGTTTTTAAAAAGATTGAGTTAGATGTATTTATTTTATTTCAAAGGTTATTATATCTGTAAAATTATGAGACTTAATGAATAAACATTATAATATTCATTTCTAGCTATCTGTGATAGACTTCATGAACTGAAATTAATTGACGATTCATATAATATGATGGAATTTGAATCATTAAGGGGACAATATCAATATGCATTATATCATTTGGTTACAGTTGCACGTGCAGCAACTGGTTGTGAAAATGCATTACGAATTCCTAAGTACAACATTTAAATTAAGTTACATACACATAAAAAAATATAATAATTTAATTTTTGTACATTTTTGTTCCACAGTTCATTAACTATGGAATGGTCTCGATACCATAGAGAATTTAAGGAAATAAGTTTTATTGCTTCTGGTGGATTTGGTCATGTATTTAAAGCTTTACATCGTCTGGATGGTATTGAGTATGCAGTTAAAAAGATAGTAGTACGATCTGGTCGAGTTAACAGTATTATGCAGCACCTTGAAGAAGTAAAGACTCTTGCCAAGTTGAATCATACTAATATAGTTTCTTACAAAGGTGCATGGATAGAGCCAACACTACCAAAAATTTGTACTACTTTCATACCGAGTTTGCCATCTTCTAGAGATTCTCAAAATAAACTAAATTTCTTAGATCATAACAATTATAGACATAAATTGTATGCAAATCAAAGTATTGGCATACAAAATCAATCAAATTACAGCAGTAGTGATAGCAGTCAGAATTCTAAAGAAAATGTTGAACAAGATGTGCTATTACAGAATAGTACCAAAAAAAATACGAAATCTGGTATGTATACCCATACCAAAAGTTTAGAGAAAGAAGCGATAAATATGAGGGTACAAAATTCTATCACTAGTTATGATATTATTAACAAAAGATTTCATGAATTAAACACTTCAATTAATACAATAGGACCACGAATAATCGACGAAAATATTACTGATGGAAGTATTGAAAGAAATACATCGCATAGTATTTCTTTTAGAAGTGATAGCAAAAATGTAAATAACAAAGTAGAAAATAACATGAACTATACAGATGGTAGCGATTCATATGAAGAATCTAATAACAACAACAAACTTTGTCCATACATACCTCAAATGGTTTGTATAAATTCTTTACGTTTTCCTTCTGTATAAACATATCAATTTTTAATATTTTAATTAAAACTTTTTAATTTATTAAAGGAACAGTATGCAACATTGTATATTCAAATGGCGCTTTGTGAAAAGACACTTCAACAATGGTTAAAGGAAAGAAGTGAGCTTACTTCGCAAACAATGATTATTGCAGTATTAACACAAATTCTTTATGGCCTGGATTACATACACGTCCGCGGCATTGTACACCACGATATAAAGGTCGTAATATATATGAAAAACTCACTGAATAATATATTGTTTTATATTTATTAAACTATATGCTTTATTGTAAATATGCTTGTTAGAAAACATATTTACATAGAATTTTCTATTTCAGCCAAGCAATATATTCATTTCCATGTCTGGTAATATTCACATACAGTTGGGTGATTTTGGACTAGCTTGTCCATTGAAAAGAGAAAATCATCATTCCATTCTTGGCACACATATGTATGCTGCACCAGAACAATTGGAAGGAAAATGTGATCCTAAAGTACTACTTTATAGTCTGAGTATTATATCATTTGTTAAGTATGTTTTAAAAGATCGTAAATTTAAACTAATTTGTCCTTTTTCAGAGCGATGTATACAGTTTAGGAATAGTACTTTTGGAATTACTAGTACATACAAAAACTGATATGGAACGAGTTGAAATAATTAATAGTTTAAAAAGGGGTCACATACCTACAACACTAACTGCTAATTATCCTAAATGGGTACAATTTTTGTAATAGTATTTAATAGTTTTAACCAAAAAAATATTTCAATAAAAATGTTTGTTTCTTTGATAGGCACATATAGTAAGCCAATTAGTACAAGCAGATCCTGAGAAACGACCATCGACGAGTCAGTTATTACAAGATCTGAACGAGGACAAGGATATAACAATAGCGCAATTAAAGAGCGTAATCGTGAAAAAAGACAACACAATACAAGCGTTACAAGATAGAATATTAATGTTAGAGACACAAATTAGCAAATATAAAATAACAACAGATGATATGTAAGATTTTAAATTAATTGGATTAAAATGAGTCAAGTTTTTAGATAAGTACAGCGTTACCTTTTTATAATAAATTGTAAAGATTTTGCAACATAAATTTTCAATTCTATAAATTCACTAAAAGATTAGAGCTACTATAAAATAAACATTAATTTCTTTTGTATTAGTAATAGAATTATATATTTGTTAAGTACGATTATAACTTAAAATGCTTTTATTGTTGAGTCCC